CCGCCCCTTTTATCTACACGATCCCTCATGTACAGGGTATAGCCATCTATACACGTGGTCCAGTCATGGGTGGAGTCCCACCAGGTGTCCGTTATCCCTATGACGTCGTAATTTTTTGTGTTAAGCAGGAGGACGAGCTCCTGCTTGTTCCCCAAGCTCCTGGCATTTGTGTACAGGCAGGCAAGTGTCCCCTTGGGGGCTCGTGCTTTGCCCACAGATTGTACCAGGGCTGGGGCAGGGGTGGGCTGCCTTAAGTGCCTTGGTCTGCCGGCTTTGCAAGGGTTGCTCAGCGGACCTAGGCTTACCCAAGACCTGGTCAACCCAAGGGGTGGGGGGGAAGGTATGTCCTTCAGTTTTGCATCTGAATTAGGCTGTCCTTTCTAACTCTTTGCTCTTGAGCGATGCGTTTGCCAGGGTTATACTGTGGGGTAGAAGACACAGCCGTGGAATAGATGGGTGCTTCGGCATTGTTACTGATGAACACTTCCCACACGGGGCTCATTAATAAGTCCATAAAGGATTAAATTGTTTTAATGGTGAGTCAGTGGACTCCAAGAAGTCATTGGGTTGATTGTAGCTGCTTACAACACCGTGTCCATTTCCTTCCAGACATTAGTTGGCTGGAACACGCTAAATGTATTTGCCCTTTCCGAAGCCTCAGAAATGGCATCTTAAGTGTGATCTGCTGCGGCTTTTAAAGGCCCTTACCCCTGAACATCGAGGAGAGGATCAGACTCACGGTGTCCGAGGCCTGCCCCTGCTTACCAAGTGCGTGGAGGAGCTGCTGCTTTGTAGGTCAGAAGAGGGACGACGCTTTTATAGGAAAAGCGGTGTAAATGCCAACCTCGCAACTTAGTCTTCTGAAAAATTCTACTTATATAAATGCTGGCTGGGAGTGATGGCGCGTCTAATTAGCGATCCTCGCATGCTGACGGGTAGCTCAGCTGGAGCGAGCCGTTTGTTAGAATTCCCACCTTTTTGATAATTCTTTCGGTATTTAATAGGCTTTTCTGTTTAAATTGCCTTAGGCTGAAACATGAAACACCTGTGAAGCCCAGGGTGAGATCTGTTTTCAAGTCAGTTTTCTAAGAGGTTATCCAGCTTTTAATTTGGAAATGGAAACGGTATAAAATGTTCCAGGCTTTAACTTGCCCTGTTAACAGGTTATTTTTTCTCTTGAAGACTAGCAGTTCGCTAATACGCTCGTTACTTTTTGTTTCGGACAGTTTTGTTACTGGTCCGTGTCTTCACCCGTCTTCAGAGGTTTCATAACGTTTCTCCCCTCTCCCCCCGCATCCATCGGTGTTTTGTTAAATCTGGGTTGTCTAATCTAGATGTGCTTCTGCTTCTCATGATTATTTTTCTCTGCATTTTTGAGAATGCCCTGGACTGGTATTTTGAAGTAAAAGCACTTGGGCTGTGTGTGTGGGAAGAGGGGTGGTTTTTATTTTTCTGCTGTTGTTGCTGCTGTTCGGAGGTCTTCTGTTTTTATTTCATTTTAAATTCAAATTGCTGTGCTTGATATCAGGGCTGAAAAAGTAGCTGCTTATGTGTTCTTGTTTTAAAAACGTTCCCTCCCTGGCGTTGCACAGTCGGATGGGAAGCATGTTGCTTCCACATGCCCTGCTGTTGAGATCTGCCAATAGTTACTGTATATATCAGTGCTTCTAGTGCTATATTTAGTATGGGAAAAGACATGCTGCTGGAGCCAGATTAGAATAAAAATGTGTTGTAACTCGGGGGTATCTTAGTGGTTTTATTCTCACTGTATAAATTCTCCCTTGTAACGGGGGGCTCATGAGATTGATTCAAAGTGGGTGAGACACCGGGTCTGCAGGTTGCACCACTCCGAATGAAAACTGCAAGGCTAAATGTGCAGACGTATCCCTTTATCAACCATGGAAGCAATACAAAGGTAGCACTGAAGCGGAGGGGGATTTACGGTGGGGCGGGAGGCAGCTATACGTAATGCAAGTTCATCTGACAAGGCTTTATCTATATCCATGTAATTCTTTAGTGCATCTGGGTTTCAGAGCTGCCCTTGGTAACACCCTACTCCTGGAAGGTGTTTTGTACTGAGTAGCAGATGGAGAGTTCACCCATTATTCACATGGATTCTAATCAGGATCAGGGCCCTTTCTGTTGGGTATCGGGTGTGCGTGCAACTTGCTGCCCATGCAAGCAAGGCAGCTGAATTGCTTCAGGGTACTGGGAGGTGGGGAGAATGACCTGGGGGAAAGAGCAAATGTCTGGACAAAGGTGGGCGCCGTACTCCAGTTGATTTTCATGTGATTTGTCACAATGAAGTAGCTCTTGTGGTTACATTTTAGGGGTGTCTCAGATTTAATTCTGACGCAAATGTCTGTCGAGGGGATTTCAGCTTTTTCCTCCATAGATTCTTCCATAGATTAACTACATTAGCCATAAAAATTCCTGTCGGCAGTAAAACTTTTAATTCCTTTCTAAAGGGGGACAGTAGGCGTTAAGATGTGTCAGGCTATTTTGGCATTGATTTCACAGGGTCAAAGGGTGACCTGTGAAATACCTGGTCACCAGATCAGCACATACTTTTTAGCCCTGTGAATTCCCAGTGGATTTCATAAAGAGCATCCTCGCTCAGATTGGCCTTGTATCCTACCAGATACTAGCTGTTCCTTTGATCGCTTCATAGCTGTTTCATCTGCCGTACACATGTGATAGCTTCATAAGAGTCATCTGAGGTAGCCTGCCACCCATTTTAAGAATAGGTTTATTCTGCTGCAAGTGTCCTTATACTTCACTGCATAAAGTGGTCAGAGGGATTAGAAGTTAGACTTCATTAAAAATAGTATCACAAATGAAATACAAAAGCTCAGGGCTGGATCTTCTTCTGTTCCAGCGCTGGACTCCTGGTTGGTGCTTGTGGCATCTCTCTTTCTCTTTTGCTAGCACAAATGCTTGTTACAGAGAGAAGCATCTCTGAAGGCCCTTAGTTTGGGTCTCATACCTGTACTAACAGCCTTAATTCAGTGACTTAAAACTTTGAATGCAATGGAAGAATAAGGAAGGCATGATGGAAATGAAAACGTATTTATTCTGCATATAGAATTGTGACCTCCATAAGGCTTTTTTTTTTTTTTAAGCATATGGAAAGCAGACGAATACAACTAGTTCTAGCACACGGGGAAACACAACACACTTTGACATGTTTATCTGATGATGCCATGTTAAACTGGGTGAAAATGAGTTTGTGATCTACTTACACAGTTTTTCAGATCATGGTGATATCCCCGGAACGGACCAGAGTAATCTCTAATCCAGGGTAGATGTTTTCTTCACCGGTTTACAATGAATAAGCCTCTTAATTCCTTTGAATAGCAGCTGGTATCATTGCAACCTGTGCCTAAAGCAGGGGGAGAGGCTTATTCAGACAGGGTTCTGTTCATGTAAGCAAGGAGGAATTTTCTTACAGGATGGGCTGTGTGGGGCAATTTCATGCGTATGGTGCTATCAGATCCCTAATTCTGCACAAACAGTAACTCTCTCTCTCTCTCTCTCTCTCTCTCTCCCCCTCCAGATGCAGCAGCTGTTTTATGAAAACTACGAGCAGAACAAGAAAGGCTACATCCGAGACCTCCGAAACAGCAAGATACACAGAGCTATAACACTGCATCCCAACAAGAACCCGCCATACCAGTATAGACTTCATAGTTACATGCTGAGTCGCAAAATAGCAGAACTTCGTCACCGGACGATACAGCTGCACAGGGAGATTGTCCTGATGAGCAAATACAGCAATGCAGAAATCCGCAAAGATGACCTCCAGCTGGGCATTGCGCCGTCCTTCATGAGGTTCCAGCCGCGGCAACGTGAGGAGGTCTTGGAGTGGGAGTTCCTTACAGGGAAATATCTCTATTCTGCTGCCGATGGACAGCCCCCTCGGAGAGGGATGGATTCATCTCAGCGCGAAGCATTGGATGACATTGTTATGCAGGTCATGGAAATGATCAATGCCAATGCTAAGACCAGAGGACGGATCATAGATTTCAAAGAGGTACAGTATGGCTATCGCAGAATAAATCCTATGTATGGGGCAGAATATGTTCTTGACTTGTTGCTTCTGTACAAGAAGCACAAGGGGAAGAAGATGACAGTTCCTGTTAGAAGGCATGCCTACCTACAACAGACCTTCAGCAAGATCCAGTTCATGGAGCACGAAGAGATGGATGCCAAAGAGTTGGCCAGCAAAATTAACCAGGACTCTGGATCCTTGTCTTTCCTATCCAATTCACTGAAGATGTTTGTTCCATTCCAGCTCACTGGCTCAAAGGCAGAGCGAAAAGAGCCCAAAGACAAGAAGATCAACATCTTAATTCCTCTGTCTGGACGCTTTGATATGTTTGCAAGATTCATGGGGAACTTCGAGAAAACTTGTCTCATTCCAAATCAAAATGTCAAGCTGGTTGTCCTGCTTTTCAATTCCGACTCAAACCCCGACAAGGCGAAACAAGTGGAATTAATGAGAGATTACCGTATTAAGTACCCCAAGGCTGACATGCAGATCTTGCCGGTGTCTGGGGAGTTCTCAAGAGCTTTGGCTCTTGAAGTTGGGTCTTCCCAGTTTCAGAATGAGTCTTTGCTTTTTTTCTGCGATGTTGACCTGGTGTTTACCACGGAGTTTCTCCAGAGGTGTAGAGCCAATACAGTATTGGGCCAACAAGTATACTTTCCAATCATCTTTAGCCAGTATGATCCAAAGATTGTTTATAGTGGAAAAGTTCCCAGTGACAATCATTTTGCCTTCACCCAGAAAACAGGTTTCTGGAGGAACTATGGCTTTGGCATCACTTGTATTTACAAGGGAGATCTCCTTCGAGCAGGTGGTTTTGATGTCTCAATTCAAGGTTGGGGCCTGGAGGATGTGGACCTGTTTAACAAAGTCATTCAAGCTGGGTTAAAGACTCTCCGAAGCCAGGAGATTGGAGTAGTCCATGTGCATCATCCTGTCTTTTGTGACCCTAATCTTGACCCAAAACAATATAAAATGTGCTTGGGGTCCAAAGCTTCAACCTATGGATCCACACAACAATTAGCTGAACTATGGCTTGAAAAGAATGACCCAGGTTTTGGGAAAAGCAGCAATACTAATGGCTCAGTGAGGACAGCCTAGTGTCCAGCTATGCTGGAGAAGACTCTCTCTTGCTCTGTTTTTTTGGTTTTTTTTTTTAATTATCTAATTTATTTTTTGGAAAATGTTTTTGATAGTTCACTTTTAAAGACCATACAGGATATATTTTAGAAGTCATCATCGTTTTCTTACAAAGAATTCCTCTCTCTTTTTTCATTTTGAACAAAACTGTGATCAGTATTTGCCTTCCAAAAAAATTTGGCAGTGTGATCTGGCAGATCACCAGAAGTCTGACTTGAAATAGAATTTCGTTACGAACAAAAGATTGTTTTTTTCCTTACCTTTTCTGTTGCTGTCCTCTTTGCTAGGATTCTCTTAATTGGAAACTGAACATTCAAGCAAAGTGGCACATCACTGTATCCAAATGTTCAGTTATGACTTACATTACACAGTTTCTACTCTTTAAAAATAATATAGCCATTTTGATCAAATTTTGTTAGGAAAAAAAGCAAATCGGTGTGCCTGTTAATTGCAGGGGTTTAAGGTGGTTGACTATTTCAACCTAAATTACACTTTGGCTTATCAAGGCCAGGCAAGGAAAACAAGCACAACCTTTTAGAAACGTTGTTTTGTTGTTCTTGGTCCATATCTGGATCTACTGCTTCAGAATCCACATGGATTCTAGGTGTTGGTCTCGATCGCTGTCCTGTCTAGAGCAGAGATCACATGATGGTGATATGCTAAATTGTAATAATTGTACATGGGAGGGAAAATGAGAATTTACTGCTGAAAAACAAAAAATGACATCATTAGGAATTGGAGATCCCCAAGAAGATCATTGGGAAAAAAAATTATATAGAAAATGTACTGCATCTGATTGCGTTAATTTTGTTCAGTCAGTTACAAGATGTTAATGGGAACAATTATTACATTCTTTGAGTACTAGTTGTTTTGTTTTTCTGTATCTGATAGGTCTTTAATTTATTTAATATCCATTGTTTTTAGGTTCTTGTCCTTTCCTTGAATATCTGTTAGTCATTTTAATATTTATATCTATATATTTTAGGAATGTATTGCATTTTCTCACTGTTAAGATAGTGTACATCATATATTTGCAGTAAACAGATCTCCAAAGATTTCTTTTGAAAGTATTTTTTTTCCATGAATTCCCCCCTCTCCCCCCCCCAGATTTCTGTAAAATGTACTGAGTAACTTTGGGTGAGGTGGGAGGAGGTAGAATGGATAAAATGTGCTCCCTAAGAGTTATCACCTAGGAAAGGTTAAAGAAATACACAAAATGAAGTGCCTTAAAGCCGACACAGGTAACCTTTCACATTGACTTCAAACAGTGACAGATATTGCCGTTGAAGCAGGTACATTGGGATCTACCTATTTGTAAATACCTTGTTCAGAAGGAAAAATAAAACCAGTGAACAATATATTTTTCTATTGTACTCTTCAGCACCATTTTGTTTCATTATTCCTAGTTCCACGTTACCTGCCCTTTTGGGAGGTGGAGGACAGTGAAAAGATGAAAATTGATGCTTAGAGTGTTACCATGTTGTGAGAAGTCTTAGAAAAAAATAACCAGTGGTTATATACTTGTGGAATATGAATTGCTAGTGTAGATTCAGTGTCATGTCATGGTCGTCATTTCTTTTGTTGGTGACAGCCCCAAGGATGTAGGTACTCGGAATGAATTTGATGCATGGAAACCTTTTTGAAAGACTTGCTTCTAAGATGCAATAAAGACTTTTTTTTTACTTGCAATTCTAACTCCTCCTGGTGTCTGCCTCAGTCCACATCCTTTTTTATGCAGTTCTTGCAACCTTGGGTAAAATAGTGTTACAAATACTTGGGGGTAAAGTAAGCCAAGGGATAATAGACCACTCTTGCGCCGTTCATTGCGTCTGCACCATGTTTCAGCCTAAAGTGAACTTCACGGTGGGGTCCTGCAGAGAGGTATATATTAGTGCTCACAGCTGTTTATGGACATGGCCACTGCTGCTTGCTTGAGCCTGTTTTTAAGGGAGGTCTCCAGAATCTGCATGGTGTGGAAGCTGTATAAATCTCCTTCCATGTCTCCCCAAAGCTAAGCATAACCAGCTACTGAATGCACACGCAAGGCTGAATTACTGCCTAATATTCTCGAAGCTCTGTGCACGGTAAAAAGAATTAAGTCCCAACTTTAAGAAATGATGAGCACTTTGTTGAGTACTAATTCCACCAGCTGTGGCCGCCTCGTGTTTCTGAGCCCCAGCTTTTGTTGGAGTCACTTGATCACATCTAGCACTTGTGGTTGCAGAGGAAAGCTGAAAAAATGTGAACTCTGAAGGCTGAAGCCAAAAGGCAAATAAAAACCTGACATCTCCCTCCTGTTAAAAGACTGATTCCTGGCTTCCCGTCTTCTGGGATTGTCGATGCTGCCTGCTGCGCTCACTACTTGAGCTAGTTGTGGATGTCCCACTGAAAATCGGGTCTCAAAACTTTTCCTCCTCCTTTGCAGTAAGCCTGAAGTTAATGTAGAAAATAGATCACTTGGTGTGGAGGTAAGATTTCTGTTCTTTTTTTTCTTTTCTTTTTTTCCCTTGTTGTCTTAATAGAGAAATCAGTAGTCTCCAAAGTGTGTATATAAATTAGTGAAGGCATTAAGCTCAGTTAATGAATAGCACCCATCTGGCTTTTGTTTCTTAAGCCAATTGCTATAATTGTGATTTAGTTTCTGAAACTGCTCAAACTTTAAGCAGTCTCCAATACATTAGACACGCAGTATAGTCCAGCTGGTTGGGGCCCACATCTTAATTAGCCACTTATCCCATAAACTTGCAGCCATACCATAAGACTGAGAGGCAAAAGCCCTGGTGTTTGCAGACAGCTATTGAATTGGTTCTGCCCTATTTTGTCCCATCTCTTTAGATGCCTGTTAGTTCTTTCCTCCCTGCTCTAATATTTAAGTGGCTAGAAACAGCCTTTAAGTACAGGTCATCCATATGAAAACTGTTATTGTATCTTCATTGGAAAATGTCCTGAATATCTAGCACTTTCTCAGCAGCAGTGGCAGCTTGGCGACTGCTGCTATCCTCCGGGCTAAGCTGCTGTACTTCTCCAGCTTCACTGAATTCAAGGCCAAGTATCCCACCTCCCTCCTGCCACCTTTGACTTGCTCTTCAAACCCTTCCCCACCTGCAGCCCTCATTTGTTTGCAGTCAGAGTGCAGAGAAGAGCCACGTGCATGATCAGAGGTCAGGAAAACACCTTATGACGACAGGCTGAGAGCCATGGGGCTCTTTAGCCTGGAAAAGCGCAGGCTCAGGGGTGATCTGATGGCCACCGATAAGTTTATCGGGTGACCACCAGGATCTGGGGGAAAGTTTGTTCACCAGAGCACCCGAAGGGATGACGAGGTCAAATGGTCATAAACTACTACAAGACATGTTCAGCCTGATACAAAGGAAGAATTTCTTTACTGTCTGAGCCCCCAGGGTCTGGAACAGCCTGCCATCAGAGGTGGTTCAAGCACCTAAATTGAACACCTTCAAGAGTAAATGGGTGCTTATCTTGCTGGGATCCTATGACCCTAGCTGACTTCCTGCCCTTCAGGCGGGGAGCTGGACTCAATGATCTTCCGAGGTCCCTTCCAGCCCTAATGTCTATGAAGTCTATTAAATTTCTCTGTGCAGGATTTTGTTACCTATTTTCAAGGCTATGGCCTCCTTCCCTCCACTCACTGTGCTCTCCCTTCCCCTCCTACCTCTCTTTCCTCCATATCCTCCAGTGAGCACACATTTCTTGTTCGCTATTCTCCAAATCCTGGTCATCTCATCTTTGCATCTCCCCTTCCTATTTTCTGTAACACATCCCGAGCGTGTGCGCACTCTCTCTCAATTTGCCTCCCTTCACAGCAAAAATGTGCTCTACTCCCTTTCCTCTCTTGCCCTACCCTAGACCCACTTCCAGCTACTGCCCCACCTTTTTTGTCTCACACCTCTTAAACAGACCAGTCAGAGATGTATCCTCTGGCATCTAAACCAATGAGGATGGATGGCAGGGAGGGTAATGAATTAGCGGTAGATCACTCTAGATAAAACCCAGATCAGTGATCTCCCTCTAAGCATCTAGTCCTGCCACTCTCAGAGATGGGATACGAGCTGGATGGGCCCTTGGTCGGACTCAGTATGACGCTTTCTGTTCTTGCACTGTTTGCAATCGCTGGAATCCTTCCCTCTGATTTCCATCTCAGGATGGGATGGATTAAAAAATATATGTATATTTTAAAGATTCTTGTTTTTAAAGGATTTTATTTAAAAAAAAAAATAATTTTCATTCTGAAAAGGTCACAATCTATGTGCAGGCCTCATACTTTCTACAATCTAAGAAATCTTTTTTTTTGTCTTTTAATGCTGACATTTCCCAGCCAAAGTTTTAAAATCAAGCCACTGAATGGATGGAAGTCACTGGCTGAGCATCTGGCACCAGAGTTGGCTGAAGTGCTACATCAGGATTGGACAGCCGGTAGCAATTGCCAAGAGAAGGCTGGTTATTCATGTCAGTTGATTCAACTCAGTTCAGTCACTTAAATCAGCTTAACATCGAAACAGACTGCCAGTTGGAAAGCAGTGGAGCTTGATTGTCACCTCCAGCCTGCAAAGGGGAACTTGACATTTGTGGGTGAGATCGAGTTCTAAACTCCGGAAGAAGTGGGGTAATCAGGCAGTTGGGTCACTCCACTACCTACAGATTTGATCACTCATTTAAAATCCCAAAAAGGTTTTGATCAATTGACTCTTCCCGTGTTCGTCTCACTTGGCTCTGGGCATGTTAACCAGGAAACAATACAATGCTGTTTTTATACATTTTTTCTATTGAATTCCAGCCTCCACCAAAACAGAGCTCGACATAAATTGCCAATAAAAAATTCAGTGTACATCAGGGGTGCCTAACTCGCCCTGGATTGGATCCAAACCATGGGGGCTCTTCCCAGGCTGGGCCCATGTAACCAGCAGCAACTGCAGTGGAGTCGTGTTTGGGCAGCACAGGTTTGGGACTGGACAATGACCTGGGGGTGTGTTTGGGCAGCAGCATGGTTTAGGAGGCTGCCACCAGCAGCCATGTCCGTCAGGCTCCAGGGATCCTAAGCTCTGCAGCAAGCCATGCCTCTGACTGCCGGTAGCCTTTCCGCAGTATGTTTGATACCCCTGGTATATGCCATTCAAGTCTGCTCTAGGCCCCATCCAGCTTGGGTTTTGCACCTGGCACTCCAGCAAAACAGCTCTTGCTATAAGGATTTCTAATTAGTTAAAGCTCAAAACCCATTCTCCACCCTTGTCTTTCATTGCCTGCCTTTGATGCAGTCACTTGTGCTGTTACTGACCTCGTGGTTTCTATAGCTCCGGTCTTGTCTTGAGCCTCTCATTGCTGCTTCAGGGTGTCCCTGGAAAACCCTCGTTCACCACCTTCCTCTAGGACTGCCCCAGGGCTGTTCTTGGTGCCCTTTGTTTCTCCTCATCTTCAGGATGGAAGTTACCTACAGATCCAATTACTATTCCTGTACTGATCTCTCTCTCTCTCTCTCTCTACACTGGAGCTGTCCTGTCCCGTTTCCACCCCCACCCCCAGTGCAGAGTAAAATCTCAGTCTGTCCTTTGTCATCCTTTCATGCATGTTTAGCCGACAGCTTGACCTCAGCTGTCAGCTAAAACAGTACCCTTAATCCTCCCTGGGCTAATCCATGCAAGGTACTAAGGCAAGTATTTTCAGGAGTCACCAGTGAGTTGGGTGCCCAACCGTAAAATCCTTCTCACCCGGTCATTTATCAGCCCTTTCCCAGGAGGGAAGGCTTTGTGAGGTCCAAGCGTGCTAATAGTTATAGGTTCGTAGAAAGTTAGGGTTGGAAGGGACCTCAGGTTATGCAGATGCCCTTCCATAAGGCCAGGTAAAGGTGAAGCCAAAGGTTGATGTCCTGTTACATTGAGATCAATCTTCCCAACCTGGAGCTGATTTAACTGATGGACATGTCTTAAGTAGCCTCCAAGGTGACTTAAAAAAACAAGTTTATTTCCTACATAGGGGGACTTTTTTACCATCTTGAACTTTCCCTGAGCCTGATGAAGGGCATGTGAGCCTGAAAGCTTGCAGAAAGATTAATTTTTTTTGCCATTTCTCAGTTGGTCTAAGAAAAGGTATCATTTTGGAACCTAGAGTTCTAGATTTTTGCATTTAAAAGTAGGCATTTTTGCCCCCTCCTCCTTCTTTTTTGGTTATGATGGGTTCAACAAAGCTCGCAAGGTAGGGTAAAAGGGCTTGTCTCTTATCACTGTTGCTTTAACCTTCAAATATTTGAGAGAGATAATTTGGTTCTTCCTGATTTTGTTAAGACCAGAGAACGATAATTTTGATCTGTACTGAAGAGATCCTTCGGGCTTGAATGCTGAGGCCTCTGGAATTCAACAGGTTTATTCATCATTGAAGTTAAATAGGAGTTTAAGTCTTTGCTGCTTTTTTTTTTTTTTTTTTTTAAATTATTCGCTTGTTCGTGTTTGTAAGCAGCAATGAAGACTCCCTTCGCCTCTACATACTGACCTGTCCCCTTCTAAGTTCCTAGGGATTCTTGGTCATCAAATCACCTCCAAAGTGACTGCAGCAAAATCTCTGTTTGATTAGCATGTCGCCCTTTTTGCATGTGGAAATGAAGTCCATTCGTTCTGCAAGTGGTCGTGGAAACGCCACCATATATTTTTATTAAGAAAATTCAGTTTCTCGCTTGTCCTGCTCACGGT